CCATCTATAGTAAACCCACAGCCAATATTGTAATTAATAGAGTTAAATTGAAATCATTTCCACTCAGATCAGGAACCAGGCAAGGGTGCCCATTGTCCCCATTGCTATTTAACATTGTAATAGAAGTTCTAGCTATTGCAATTTGGGAAGAAAAGGTGATTAAGGGTATCCATGTAGGAACAGAAGAGATTAAACTTTCACTTTTCGCAGATGATATGATTGTATATCTGGAAAACAATAGGGATTCAACTAAAAAACTCTTAGAAGTGATCAAGGAATACAGTGGCATATCAGGATACAAAATCAACACTCATAAATCTGTAGCCTTTATATATACCAACAGCAGCCAATCTGAAAAAAACAGTCAAGGACTCTATTCCATTTAAAGTAATGCCAAAGAAGATGAAATATTTGGGAATATATCTAACAAAGGATGTGAAAGATCTCCATAAAGAGAACTATGAAACTCTAAGAAAAGCAACAGCCGAAAATGTTAACAAATGGAAAAATATACCATGCTCATGGCTAGGAAGAATCAACATTGTTAAAATGTAATCTCAGGAATAAAAACAAAGCAGGAGGAATCATGCTACAGACCTCAGACTATACTATAAATCGATAGTGATTAAAACAGCATGGTACTGGCACAAAAACAGAGAGGTAGATGTATGGAACAGAATAGAAAGCCAACAGATGAATTCAGCTACCTACCGTTACCTCATCTTTGACAAACCAACTAAAAATATTGAGTAGGGAAAATATTTCCTATTTAACAAATGGTACTGGGCAAGCTGGCTGGCAACTTGTAGAAGACTGAAACTGGATCCACACCTTTCACCATTAACTAAGATAGATTCTCACTGGATTAAAGATTTAAACTTAAGACATGGGGGAAGGGAGGGGAGAAGGGCAGATGGGTGGAGGGAGGGTGATTGGAAAGATCACCTCTATGGTCTGTCTTACAAGGGTATAAGTGAATCTTTCTAAAACTAGAGTATAAATGTCTTAACACAATAACTAAGTAAATGACATAAAGTCTATGTTAACCAGTTTGATGAAAATATTTCAAATTGTATATGAAAACACCACACTGTACCCCATGTTCGCATTAATGTACACAGCTATCATTTAATTAAAAAAATACTCTTAGGGGGATAGAATTTATTATAATAACAAAAGTCATAATTTTATCAAAAGGCATATGAGAAGCTCTACTCTATTTTCCAAAATAACGAGGTCCAATAACTTGCCTAGGTCATAGACATTTGACCTGGATTTCTTGCTGGGTGAGTTGTATTTTGCCCACTAAGTCCTGCGTCCACTTTTTCAGAGCTATGCAGGGTACCTGTGTTGTCACCACAATTGTGTGGTGCTAGAGGAAGGTCATGAAGTTAATCTACTTGGAAATCCAAAATTTTAAATGTCATAGTAATAATAATATCTGACTGGTTATTATCTAGAAAAGTAAAATGAAAGAACTATGAAAAAAGTCATTTTATCCTATATTTTTGATATCATGTACAAAATGCTCATAATTAATGAGGAATTAATCAAGTGTTATTTGTCCATCTGAAAAAAGTTATATGACAGCACAGCCTGCCAACGTTCACTCTGGGGTTTGTCTGCTGTAGCACTGTGGTCAGCTGGTGCTCTGCTGCATAAGACCCTCTGTGTGGCCCAACCCCTCTGTGAATCTTTTGATACTCAAAGGAATCTCTCTTGAAGTGGCTATTCTTACCATGCTGTTAATTTCTCATTTTGGTTATAAGCTGTCTAATTCTACCACATTATATGTCAATGCTCTAAATTTGATGAGAGCAGTTCTCTATCATCACAATTATTAAATTCCTCCATCCATTGAAGATTTTAATTTTACTTTATGATTAATTTGATCATTACTGATTAGCATGAGACTGCCCCAAGTGTTTGACAGAAATAGGCACCAGTATTAAGTGGACAGCACTATTTGTAAAGGATTAATTTTACACATTATTAGTAAACATTTTTGTGTTAGAATGACATCTGCTTTCTTATAGTTTATTTAATGTTCTGGTGACTTGATCAGTTGATATGAGGAGAAATATTACTACTTCCTCTGCTTTCACCAAGGTTTCAAATACACATGCAAGTATAATGTTATTTTAGTAAAGAACCTGAAATTAATTTTTTTTTATTTTACTTTAGTAACATATGGGGCATTGATAGTTACCAAGAATATAACAAAACCTAGGGCTTTTTGGCAATAGTGGGGTCTGAGTTAAACTTACCTCTTGAAGCAGTGTGCGGCGGTAACAAGCCATGTGCTGCTGATGAGGGTGGCCCCACACTGGTGCACCTTGTCTCGCTGGAGGGAGGCCTGCCAGGGCCAGGCAGCCTTGGCTGCAATGTCTCCAGACATTATCCTGTTGACTGTTAATGGAGCAACTCGTTTGCCACAACCTGAAAAAGATGAGGTCTTTAAGCTTTAAGAACAACATCTCCTTTCAAAGGGGTGAGTGTGAGCAAGGAGGGGGAAAGAGGAGGATTATCTGTTGGCATAAGGTGCATGCCCAGGCATCACTGTTACAAAATTCATCCATGGAACCAAAAACCACAGGTACACCCAAATCTACCGGAAAACGAACAAACAAACAAACAAAAACAAAAAATAAAACTGTCTCTCTAATCTTTGATATGGAGACCCTGAATGGAGTATTGCAATGTACTGTTTACATCTGTCATTATAAGAGCCTATATGACATCACTGCTCATTCTCATATTTCCTGGGGTGTTTACATGTTACTTACCCCCCACCCCTTATAGGTGTGCATACCTACTGCCTACTAAAGCTATGCTAAGCTGTGAAGGATTGATACTTGACAAAGTGTCATATTTGCCCTGAGGACTTGCATTATCAAATATCTAGATATCTTGGGAGCTCCTCCAAAGATTATTGTTTCCCAGTTTTGGGTGAATCAGCAGCATTCCCTGGACATGAAGTCCTCAACAGAATAGCAGCTCCCCTAGCCAGACAAGTGCTGTTCATGTGTTAGAATCCCCCCAGTTATTTTTTGAATGAGTAGCAAAATAGGTGTGCATAAGTTAATGTGTCGTGACCCGTCTCTCTGGCTCTTCCACAAGCCTCACATTCAATGTGCTCTATTGTGGGCGTCAGACCAGAGATCACTTTGCTACTAAAGGTTCTTGCTAACAATTAAGCTTATTTGGAGTATAGAGCCAATAAAGATAATATGATAGGATCCATTTTTGTTCCAATTAATTAGGCACCAAAACAATTATTTTACTGGCCTTGGTTACACTGCAGCTGTGGCCAGCTGTTTTAGAATCTCCATCACTCCAGTTTAGACCACCGTTTCTTCTCACCTGTAGGTCAGCTCAGCTTCCCATTCACCCCTGCCCGACCTTCCCCTGTAGCCTACTCCCCTGGGCCCTACTCTGTGTTCTAACCATGCTGACATTCTTAATTGCAAGAAGGCATTCTGTCTTGTCTGAGGACATTTTATATGTTACTAACCCTGCCTGGGACACTCACCCCAGCGATTTTCTTGCTATTTCAACATTTCCTGATTTATGCTTTCTCCCACCTTCAAACTCTAATTTTAGGGCAGGGATCATGTCTTATTCACAAAGGCACCACCAGCTCATGGCACACTTAATGATACTTGGTAGATGTTAAGATGAATGAATGAATGAATAAAATAAAATAAAATTGAATGAATAAATGAATAAAAATTATTTAGGGGTTTACAAGACACAGAGGTAAATACATAACACCACTGTTCAAATTCATCATTGCTTTTATAAAATCTTTCAAATTACAGGCTAAGTGATTTGAAATTAGTGTTAGCTATAAAGATGAATACATTAAGCATATTTTGTAGGTCAGTAACAGATAATGAGGCTTACCTACTTTCTATTATCACTTTCTTATTATTTTCTCAGCAGAAAACACATTTTTTAATAGCTTAAAAAACTAGAAAAGCAAGTCCACTTATTCCAAACCAGAAATCCAGAAATATATATTTTCTTCAAATTGTCTTAGAATTTTCACCATGTAAACATTTTTCTTGAACATGACTAAAAGATCAGTTTTAGAGTTAGAAAAAAAGAATTTAAGTCTATTGTTCAATTATTCTTTCCCAAAGAAAATGTGGACCATAGATGGGAAATTATAAGTCAATATTTAAATATATCCTTTCTGATGTGGAAACTGAACTTGTTTATGAAAGCTGACTAGACTTACATGCTTGGACAGTTAGTTTCCCTGTTGATGAGCTCATTGCTGAAAAACAAAATAAAACAAAGATTGACAATTTGATATTCTCCTGGCTGGTCTCAATGATCAGGAATCCTCACAGGGTGCTGAGCACAGATGGTCTGGACACCTGGGCATGTAGGCTGGCCAGGAGAAAGGCTGTGAGTGCAGGCTGTGAGTCTCATGGGCAGCCACTAACTGGGTAGATGACATCTCAAGCAGCAAGTAGTGGATGCACAGAGCGCAGATAGTGGATGATTAAAGCCCATAGATAGTTTGTACTAATACAGAACCATGGTTTTCCAGCTATGCAGGGTAAATCTTTGGATTTCACTTCAGGGGATGGGAAAGTGGGAAAAAAGAAGCAAGCAGATGGGTCTCCGAGCAGGTCTGCTGGGATCTTGTCTGTGTGAGAGTTTACATAGGGCTTTTTTTGCTCAAAGTGTTCAGGGTGAAAAAAGTTTGAAAACTCCCACATAAACTATATTTGTAAAATATTAAAACACAGTTCTTAAATAATCAAAATGTTCCTTTTTGAAGAATAAACTATTATGTAATCTTTTCCAACATCTGCAGAATATTGGCAAAGTGAAATTATTGGACACAATCTAAGATTAGATTTTGTCACTCTCCAACAGAGCTAAGAATCTGACTAAGGAAACACAAACATTTAAACTCATATACATATATCAAAAAATCTTGTTGTACATGTACATCATAAATATTAAAATGCACAATTGATGTCGATTATACCTTTATAAAGCTGAGGGGAAAATAAACCTAAGTTAGTGAAAGGTTGCATGAAAATTGTGATGACTTTCAAGTTAGGTGGATCACTGGGCAGATGAGAACAAACCATTTTGCTCTTTTCTATTAGTGCCACATTTCCTGACCCAAATTCTCAGCAGCCTGTTCCTCACTGTGCAAAATAAGAATGTTTCATTCTACTAACTTTCTATAAACCACACCTGGGAAACTAGTGACGATGAACTCTGTAAAGTGGAAGCTTTGGAAAACATCCAATTCCAGGGCACTCTTAAAGGTACCCCCAAGTTATTGTACAGTAAAGAATTAATTGCTCAGGACAGATTCTTGGTGCTTATTCTGCAGAAGAAACTCAAGTTTCTGTCAAATGTGGTTTAAAGTAGTAAATTTCTTGTTTCATTTTTTAAAAACATACCATTTAATTTATCCTTAGAAATGTATTGAAGTAAAAAATAGTATGCTAGACTTCTTTAGTTAAAACTCTGTCAGCTTAGTCTGAGCAAGATGCAAGTTGTCTTCCTCCAGAATATTAGCAGAGTAAGTGCCGTGGCTCTGAGTATAATTGAGCTTTTAAAGATAGACTGTTTAGGGACAATAATTACACTTGGAGGTAGATTGTCAGTATACAAGTAACTAATTGTTGAAGATTTCTAATTTTGACCAAATATTTTTACATTCCAGTAGACAAAAGTGAAAAGAAACATAACACTTTAGTCTTGCAAGTGAGTGATGCCTGAGGTGCTTCTGAGTTGGGAGAAGTCTTGTTGGTGTCAAGGGTTCCACGTGCTACCAGCTGTGTGGAGCACATCACCTGACTCAGAGGCAGTCAGGCCTTACTGCAGAGATGGCATTTGCAATGCACAGAAATTGACTTAAGCTTTCCTTTGATAAATTGCATCTCATGGAGGACCCACATCACAGTTATTTGTCAAAAACAAATACAGAGTCTTGACAAGTTATGAATAAATCTTGAGCTACAGGGTCATGCCTAGACTTGGTCTGAAACCCCTGAAGTTTTTTCTTTATTAGAAATTCCAAAATCAAGTAGTCACTGCAGAGCAGTGTTTAGCCTGTAAGAACTGCTTTAAGGATTCTATTGAGATTTCCACTAACCAGGTCTTTTCTAAGTTCTGATAAACTGCTTTTCTGAGGTTTGAAATTTCAAAAACTTCAAGGACCTGTCTCTTTATACTATTAGTCAATCACTCATAGTAATGTTTTCAGGTTTCAAAAGCAGATGCACAATTCAATAGCTTTCTTGGCAGCAATAGCCTCTTCACTGCACATTGTGTTTTCTGCTTTCTTGGGTATTATAAAATTAATGTGGTTTCAGGAAGAACAAACATTATTATTGCAATTTCACAGATGAGAAAATGGAAGGAGAGGCTTGGACCAAGTACTTGGTCCTGCAGTGAATTGGTGGAGTTAGACTTACTTGGGTAATGCCCACCCTGGGTTCTCCATCAGCACATCTATCTTTTAATTCAGTTCCATCATAAAAATGTACCAAAGCATACAAGTTCAGCCTGTCAGGGACAAAAGGGCAGGCAGCTCATGACCATTTCATACTTCCTTTCTGGTTTCAGATAGCTCAGGCTTTTAAATTATTGGCAGACTAACTGGATATTGGAAATTACACAGAACACATCATTTAATTTATCAGAATGGCCACTATTTCACAACCTCAATTTCTTTGCTCCCCACTTAACAAAGAAGGTGGATTGACCCCTGACCTCCCTCCTGCCTCCAGGCTGGGAGGTTCCTCAGGCTGGTTCCCTAGCAGTCTGCCCTATCAGCACTCCTGCCTGAGTCATTGCCTCAGATCTTCACTTCCTGGTCTTGTTTCTTCCCCAGGAGTCATCTAGGCACTGGTGAGGGCAGGGCGACCTGCTTCATGTCTGACGACTGTTCCTCATGCTGATCCTGCCTGTGACTCTCTTGGGCTGGTGTCTCCTGGGTTTCAGTGGGACCTTCACCTGCCTGCAAGAAGATGCTCAGAGGAGCTGTGAGCATGAGGTCACCAGGCTTCGGGTAGGCTAATGTAAGAACTAACTGCCAAGAGATGAATAGCACAGTGGGAATTTCTAACAGGTGTTTCATCACAGCGCCCTTTATTCATAAAGTCTCTTAAAAAATTAGAGGCCTATGGGACAAAGCAGGAGAGTCTCCTCCTGCTCTGATGCACTGCCCCAGTGCAGCTGCTCCTGCTGGTCACTGTTATATGTATATCAGGGTACAGCCATCCAGGGGACAGTCATCCAGAGGACAGTCATCTAGTCAGCCAGGAGACAGTCATCCAGAGGATAGCCATCCAGGGGATGTCATTCAGAGGACAGTCAACCATAAGACAGCATCCAGAGGATAGTCATCCAGAGGACATCCATCCATGGGACAGTCATCCAGGAGACAGTCATTCAGGGGACAGCCATCCAAGGGACAGTCATCCAGGGGACAACCATCCA